ATTAACTGTATAGGCAATCGATTGGTTTATATGTGTTGATCTTGTATCTTGCTTCTTTGATAAACTCATTTATAATCTGTAGAATAATTCTGGTGCAGGTTTTCATTCTGTGAATATGATAATATTATCAGCAATTTCAGAGAGTTGGCCTTCTCTTTTTTGTTTTCTGTATCCTTCGATTTCCTTTTCTTGTCTGATCACTTTGGCTAATGGTTCAAGGACTATTTGTATTAAGATGGTGACAGAAGGCACACTTATATTGTTCCTGAAATATGAAGAAATTCTTTTAGTTTTTTTTACATTTAGTACTATATTGACTTTGGGTTTGTCATAAATGGCCATTATGTGGTTGATATAAGCTCCTTTAATTAATAGCAAGACTCTAAGCAAGTTTGTGATGTTCTGCCCCAAAATAAAATATAAAAGGGACTGGTGTTGGGGAACAGTGATTTAGCTCCCCTCATTTAGTTCCCTAGCATAAAAAAATAAGAATAAAATGATATTAATAAAACCTATGTCCACCCCAAAGCATTTAGAAATATGTAGCATAATATCCCCAAATGAAACCAGCCATACCATTAAAGGTTAACTCCTCCTGACCAAGTGACTTACCCAAGAGATAGAAGATGGTGTAGCTATCTTATAATCAATCAATTTCATTAAGCACTTTTTCAGAGAGAAGATGAATTTCCTGGTAGAGGCTGAATTGAGTTCCCTGTCTGACAATTCCTAGACTGAAATCTGTCCCACAGGACCAGGGTCCTCAGTGGGTAATTAAGCCAAAATGAGGTGCTTGGTATTTGGATTACGTCCATGTTAAAAGAAAAAATGTAAACTTCCAAGGATCAACATGGATGTTGGGGAAGAGAGAGAATACCAAGTGATCTCAGGACAAGATGGTGGCCATCTGCCAATCCAGGAGGGCACCTTAGGTGGAGCCAGACCGACCCACTCACTGCAAGGACCACCATCAGATGCATTCCCACTACCTGTGATCCATGAAAAAATCACTGACTCTCACCATCACATTTGCATTTAATTAACAGCACTAGTCGATGCCTACATGAAGTTCACCAAGCTTCTTTTTGGTAATGGAGAATTTTATATTAGAATGCTCATGTCCTTCAATCCCTTCTTCATCTTCCATGGTGAAGAATGTAAGGCATAGTTAGTGGCCAGGGATGCCATGTCAAAGCGCCACGCTGCTATATCACAGGGCAGAATTTATCTCCCCAGAGACGTGAGGGCTGACATATGGGTACTAATAATCTTCACCTATGGGCAGAAGGAACTTCTCTGCATCTTCTGAGCCTTCTAGCAATGAAATTTTCTATGAGTGAAACTTCCTTTTGGATTCTCTCTATTCCTCCAAGGAACAGTCCACGTGAATAACTGAGTTGATCTTACCATTGGAGCCCTTCACGTTTCAGATTTTCTGTTGATAGGAGCCCTCTCCTTGGTTTTCTGAACTCAGAGCACCCTGATCCTGCACTTAGGTTCCAAATCCCCAGAAACCTGTCTGTAGCTATTGGAAGCTGCCTGGCTGATCATTAGCATTTTGTCCACATATAAGGGACTCTTACTTTATTTCAGCATCTTCTGATAACCATCCATGATCAAAGGAGACCTCTACAGTCATTAGACTTGGAAAAGGATCTGTCCAAGTCTGCAACTGGAATCTTCACTCAA